TTTTCCTTTCCTTTTCATTTTTTAAAAGTTTTTTTTTTAACTACCTTGTCTTTCAAAGAGAATGGTGGCGCTGTGGCAACTGAAGGCCCGGAGCGGGTCAGCCAGCTGTTGGCGGACCAGGGACAAACAGGGAGGGCAGTTGTCGCAGGGGCCGGCAGGCTGGGGCCCGGTGTGGTCGGTCTGTCACAGATCTCAAACCCGACAGTATAGGGAGAGCGAGGCGTTATGCAGAAAGCCCACACCATGGAGAGAGTGCAGGTGATAGAAGAACCATAATATTTATCTTTTAACGTTTTTATTTATCTTTCTAATTTATATTATGAAGAACTGAAATGTGAATCTTTTAGTTTCTTCTTTATATTTCTCTATTTTAGTACCTAAGATTCATACCTAGGCTTTATTTAACCTAAGATAGCCCCTTGTGTGCCGACATTGTGCACATTTTACTGTACTCCTATATTTTGCACTTGAGTAGATGTGACAATAAACCTAATTTTAATTCTGAATTTGTGCTCACTACCACAGAAATTCCTGTGCCCCTGAGAGGACAGTCCCTGATAACAACTATTCTTTTAAACTTTGTCAAACACGGTCTAATATAGGAATAATTCTTAGTGTTCAAGAACTAAATAACACTTCTATTTTCCTCTGAAAGAGTACCCCTTTCGATTATAACCAAAATTGAATACCTACTTGACAGAGAACTAACCACAAAGAGAATTTGAACTAACTTCTTAACTTTTCTGAAAACTATCCATCTATTTGCCTGATCCTGCCGAGTAATCACTTTTCTAAGTCTACTAGCTATCTCACTTTGTGTCTCATATATGCCCTCAATAACATTAAGCCTTAAAAAATTCAATACCACGTTATTCATAAAATAAACTACCTTTCATTACCTATCTAGACGTCGTGTTGGATGCTTTGTCTTATCATAACTGCGCTGCACGATCAGAAACAAGTTTGAAAACAGTTTAGCCACCATGCGAAATGAAGATTTGATCAATCTCGTTGAATGGAGAAGTGACCCAATATTCACATTCAAATCTATATGGCAAATCACAATGTTCTGCACACTCAGCCTCTCAGCTAACATGCCATGTCCATCGGAAGAACATGATTCACTTGCAGAGAGGTAAGAAAAGATTATCAAGGATGTTGCAGGGACTGGAATGTTTGAGTTAAAAAGACAAACTGCATAGGTCGGGATTTCTTTTCACTGGAGGATAGGAGCTTGAGGGGTGACCTGATAGAGTCTTATAAACTCTGAAGCATAGATAAGGTGAACAAAAATGCCTTTTCCCTAGGTTGGGAGTTTTCAGAATTAAAGGGGATATATTTAAAGCGAAAGAGGAAAGATTTAAAAAGGACTTGAGGGGCAGCTTTTTTTTCAAACAGAGGGCGATACTTATGTTAGATTCTGCCACTCACAATTGTGATCATGATCATTGAAGTGCGGAGCTCATTACTGTGAGTCGTGGCAAATTACTTAACGCCGTTAAGTCACTAAAGCAAATGCTCTGGGCACTGTATTTAACGGACTGAAGGTAACAAAACAAATGACGCAATCTCGAATGTACATAGCAATTGATATGTCATGGTGAGTCAAGTAATGGTTCGTTCTAGTTTTATCCACACTGTTCAGAACTCTACGCAAGCCATCATTGCAGAACTCACAGTTAATTACCAGCGTAGACGAAATAAAATAGTCAATTATTTGCAATTTTTCTGATGGAACTGTAATACGTTTGAAATGATATGTTGAGTGATTGTTGTAAATTGAAATGAAGCTATTTCCTCATCTTAAAGCTTAACTTATCAGCACAGCCTTCTACCGACATTTTTTATCTTTGAAATGCAAGTTTATTGTCGAGAAAGAAGAATTATTTGTGCATCAGGAAAGTTCCAAAGCTTCTTGTTGTGCTGTGCAGGTCGTTTTTTGTTGTTGTCCAAATGATTCACATGATCCATGACATCATACAGCACTATGGAGTCAGAATAACAAATACTAAATCAAATGAAACAAATTGAACTGCAACAATTTTCAAAGGCGTCAATCACTGAAGTAGAAATATAACAATGTATTTTAATGCCTTCGGGCCGTCAGACTATCCAGCAGTCCATCCGACCACCCGCCCTACCGCCGCCTTCTTGCTTCCACCTGCCTGTCTGTTGAACCATTCACTCATCCACAGTGTTAGAGCTTATTAGTTTAAGAGCAACACTTTTATGCTGTACTCTGACCCTGACAGACCATTGACCTGAAGGCTTATCTATGTACTGCGCATTTCCAACTTTTTTTTTAATATTAGTACCGTTTAACTCCTGCCGCTAAATGCTGGGTTATCAACAGAGTACCTTGTTTTTCTGAAGCAACATTCAGGATAGCACGTGCTCGGCTTCATTCTCAGTGACAGCACTGGAGCGTCAACAGCCAACATCATGACACGCAAATTTAATAAATAATTTACAACAATAAAGTAGAAGTTACCGATTTTATGTTTTTGGAAATCAATTGCCCAGTTTTGCATCTTGTGCAGCTATTTTCTTAAAACACATTTTAAGACATTGAGTGAGGACTACATAAAGAGGAATTTCACGAATTTCAGTGAATAGCAGTAACAACTTGCAATGTGAAGAATTGATAATATTTAGTTTAAGGACACTGTTCTGCTGGAGAATAAAGAAACTATATATTTATGACGGCAGTCAAAAACTAGCATTGGATGGATATTGATAACCTAGGTTTACAATTTGGGTTCGGTATCAACTGAAGAGGGTGGGCTGCCAAGAACCTCCTTGGAAAAAATAATTAAAATGCTGGAACCAGTCTAAGCAAAATTTTAACCTCCAATTCAGTTGCTATCTAGGTGATTCATTCGCATTCACACCCTTGCAAATAGAACCCATTAAACATATTTGTGTAATAACTGCAAATTATTATCATGGTGATGCAATCCAATTTATTTGTTCAATGACTGTGAGCAAATGTAATGGTGACGTCATCCAATTTGATCTTGATGAGTTAATGTTCGATATAAAAAGCAATGTTCTTTAAAGCTGAGCAGCGTAAGTGCGAAGTTTTGAACAGGGATCGTTGATTCTAAGAGAAGAATGCACGCACCGCCAAAAGGCCCAGTATATGCCTCATATTACACTGCACTTGCAGTTATCGCCATCCCAGGTAAACATTGGAACAAGTTATATTATCACTTCGTTGGGTGGTAATTTCTGTCTCAATGGATTCTAATGCAGGCACACAGAATCTACGCAATGCTTGTATAAATTGCTATTTAAATCTTATCTGGGGTTTTTCCTTTTCTTCGGGGCCTCACACCTCTGAAAGTTATATATTAGAATAGAGAGGAGGGAAGCACGGATTCACTAGAATGTATGTCAAATTTTCGTTTGTGAAATTAAGATGACGTGCTGCGTCGAGTTGGCCTGAATTATAACAAATTAAAGCATTATCAAATGCAGATGTTTAAAATAGTTGATAGGTTTTAAAAACACAGAGGAGCCATTTGCCTCACAGGATGTGGGTGTTGTTGGATAGATCAGATTCATTGTCAAAGTTTAATTGCTCTGAGAGGCCGTAGTGGAGCTCTTTGCTTGAAACCATGCATGTTTTCTGTGTATTCTCAAAATAATTTTTGAGAGGGAGATATAGTATCTTGATCCAGCGATAGTGAAAGAACATCAATAAAGTTCTAATCTTTTTTGGTATGGATGGAAGTTTGTAGGTGGCGGTGTTCCCATGGACCTGCTGCTAATCAGCTTCGACTTGTTCGAAGTCTGATGTTCGTCCGGTGTTCTCTATGGAGCTTTAATGAGTTTTTCCAGTGCGTGTTGTAAATGTAACTGTGCATCAGTAGTGGAGGGAGTCGGGTGCTACAGATGATAGATAGAAGTGCCAATCAAATAATTTGTTTGTAGTTGATGCTTTCAAATGTCTCAAATGTTTTTGGATTTGTCACCATCCATACAATGGAATTATTGCCTCACACTCCTGCTTTCTGCTTTGGAGATGCTAGGCAGATTTGTGGAGTCAGGCAGTCGATTGCTCTTTTTTATCCCCCAGCCTTTGACTTTACCTTAAAGGCACAGAACTGCATGGCTAGCCCAGTTCTGTGTCTGGAAAATGGTAAAATTCCAGTGTGTTAATAATAGAACAATATTAGTTCATTTAGCAGTGTTCCAAGCACTGAGTCTTAACGGTTTCATGCCGATTTTCAAAGTCTGAGTTGCATGTTCCAATTAACGAAGTATTGTGGGACTGTTGCATTGCAAATCTATGATTTTCCTGTGTGCATCACACCCGTTGGGTCCTTGTGCATTTCCTTAAGGATTGAATTTGCAAACAGAAGAACTTCACGTGCCCTGAAACTAAAGATAATGCAACTACTTCAATCAACGTGCAATTTATGGAATAACACTGTAAACACTTTTCTTTAAGGCTGAGCCATGTAGACTGGCTGCTATATCTGAAAATCTGAAACGTTTCAAGCATTTGGAATATCTTTCGTTTAGGCATATTAATGCACAAAATCACAATTTCCTGAAGTTTTCTTTTTTCTGTAATATGCAGGTTTCACTCCCTAACTTGTTTCATAGATTTTTGACACAGTTAACTCTTTGATAATGTTTGAACATTTAATTTATATTCATTCCTTTTCTACGTCAGTTATTTTTTATTTACCTAGGGTGTGCCCTGCTATGTCCCTACTTTCGATATTTATATTAGTTCCAATCACTGCAACTATCAAAACTGTGGTATATGAGCATAGAGCCACTTGTAGTTCAAACCTTTTTTTCTGTAAATACAGTTATGCATGATTGTTAAAGCTTGTTGAAATTAAATCAAGATGTTACTTCCACTGTGATTCTATTAGCATCTCGTCTCTCGTTTCGTCCACCTGACAGTAAATTTGATGGCTATTGTAATCCTATCCAAAGGAACGTGCGGTCTTTCGAAATGTATAACGCGGTACCTGGTATCTATGGCAGTGACAGATCTCCTGGTTATTATCACGGCTGTGATGTTCAATCGGATTCCTGCTACTTTTTTTCCAGGTAGTTTCCTGTTCATTACTCCAGTGTGTAGTATCAGCACTGCATCAATTTATGCATCAAGAGACTGTTCGGTTTGGTTAACAGTAACTTTCACTTTTGATCGCTTCGTTGCTATTTGTTGCCGGAAACTGAAAGCAACATATTGCACTGAGAAATCGGCAACATTGGTCATAGGAGTGGTTTGTGCGCTGGGATGTTTAATCAATATCCCCTGGTATTTTATACATGAACCTATTTACAAAATTGAAAATATCCCTTGGTATTGCAGAATAAAAGCTATCCGTTATTCTTCAGTTACATGGCGAGCCTTTGATTGGATAGATCGTATTTTAACCCCATGCCTTCCGTTCTTTCTGATTATTCTATTCAATGCTCTCACTGTCCGTCATATCGTGGTGGCCAATAGAGCCCGCACAAGAATTGTGGTCCGGAAATCTGGATATAATCGCGATGACCCAGAGTTGGAGAACCGGAAAAAGTCCGTAATTTTAATATTCTCCATATCAGGCAGTTTTATCCTATTGTGGATGACATACTTTATACAGTTCCTATTAGAGCAAGTAACAAATGACTATATCTTGAATGGTTTCAGTGATCCCAAATTTATTTTCCGAGAAAGTTCAAATATGCTCCAGCTTTTGAGTTGTTGCACCAACACGTTTATTTATGCAGTCACTCAGAGTAAGTTCAGAGTGCAATTAATTAATATGGTGCAACAACCATTCATTTTACTCAGAAAATTATTCAAATAATACACATACGTTTGAATAAACGAACAATATCGGTATCATGCGTAATTAGTTCTCGTTTATTTTATATGTACAGAATGAAGATCGTTTGTTCTGTAGCCATGTATCAATGTAAATCGAAAGTGCATAAAGAAAGTAGCCCAAATTCTAACAGTTCCTGCACCAGTGATAAAAAAATTACAATTTAGTACCGTGCCCCTTTCCTGAACCAGTGATAAAGCATTCATATTAAATGATATGAGAAATTCCTGCATGAGATACATACATAAACAGTTTCCAGAAAAGAGAAGGGCGAGAGATACATTAAGATGAGTGGATGTTCTGTAGGTGTTTCCTCTGAGATTCGAGCTGAACGTGGTATTCAGGACTTGGGAGAAGTCAACAGAGTTTCAAAATCAATTAACAGAACAGAAAGCAAACAAAAAGTCAGAAATCCTTCTTTAGTCATGGCAGCTAATGGAAAAGAAAAATAAAAAATCTATACGAAGTGCAAGATCTAGACCAGCGGAGAAAAACAATAAATACTGTACAAACCATCAATGCTAAGGGGCAGGATAAAGTGTATGGCCAGCAAAATAGTTCTATATCAGAATGCACAGAATGTAATGAATCAATTGGATGAGCTAAGGGGCAATTTCAAAGGAAGAGTCACCGGACCCGAAATGTTAACTCTGATTTTCTCTGCATAGATACTGCCAGACCCGCTGAGCTATTCCAGCAACGTCTGTTTTTGTTCCTGATTTACAGCGTCTGCAATTCTTTTGGTTTTTATGGAGTTTATAATAGATTTACCACTGCTGACATATGGCTGCAGATTGTTGGGGACTGGGAACTAAATATACCAGGCTTTAAGGTTCACAGGATGGATAGAAATAACGGCAAAGAAAATGGAGCAGCCTTCCTGAGTAGAACCAGAATTACTTCGGTGGTGAGGGAGGACATAATCAGAAGAAACAATTTAGTGCAAACCGTATGGATGAAGCTTAGGAAAAGAAAAAAAGTCTCAAACTGTAATTGCTGTTGTGTACAGACTCCCTGATGGCAGCTCTGAGTTGCTTCATACAAAAAATTAGGCAAGTGTGCAGCAAAGCTCGAATTGTATTAATGAGGCAACTTCAGTTTAACACAGGTTGGAAGAGGCAAACAAAACCTGTCAGAAGAATGATGAGTTTTTGGAGTGTGTCAGGGATAGTTTCCTACAGTAATATGTCCTGTAAGTAACAAGAAGACAAACAGAATTCGATTTAGTAGTCAGTAATGAGACGGATATAATTAATAATTTAGTTGTGTGTGAATATTTATCAAATAATGATCACAACATGACTGAGCTCAATGTATCATTTGGATGCAAAAAGCATGAATTAAACACAGGGATTTTAGATTTAGATAAGACAGACTTTAACGAGATGAGACAGAGACTCTCGACAGTAAAGTGGGAAAATGTGCCAATTGGTAAGACAACTGAACAACTGTGGAGGATGTATAAAGAAAGAAAGTATTGAAAAGAACATAATTCACAAAGAAACAGCTGACACCCCAGTTTCGTGGATTGTGTCAGAGATTTTAACACCAGTTTCTGTGACTCAATGGGTCCATGCATTTGGCTGTTAACCGGAGGACTGACGGCTCATGACGGCTTCCCAGGAATGACGGCTTCCTGACTTTTGCCTAATCTGTTTTCTCCATGGCATATTCCCGGATTGAAAATAGCAATTTTAGTTGCGGGAAGATACCAACCGGGTGTCCAACGTTTCGCCAACCATACGTCTTCAATGCATAGCCAGAGTAAAAATCGATAAGCCGATCACACAGTGAGGAATACATGTAATGTGTCTGTGAGATCGACTATGGAATCTGATTCATTACTCACACAACTGGCAGCAGAGGGATTCCAGACTGCGTCTCAAAAGTGAATGGAGCCTTCGCCCAGCACCTTACTTTCTAAAAAGTTTTCAAGTAAGAAATTGAACATAGTAATAAAGATCCATTTAAAGTGAAGGTTATAAAACATATGCTCAATTAGATTGAGTTTCCCTTTCATACAGCACTAAGGGTGTGCCTGTACCACATGGATTGGAGTTATTCGAGCAGGCAGTTCGCCAGCATTCCCTCCAGGCCAAAAGAGGACTACCTTAGAAAATTGGTTCAGGCATCCTTTGAAAAGGAAGAGTTCACTTGAACACGAATGTCAAACTGTATCTAGCTCCATTTAATGTAAAATTTAATCACATGCCACAAAATTATCCCGTGATTCTGGTCTCTCCTTATTGCAGCTCATTTTCCCCTTTCGTTTGATGCAGAAAGTTTCGTTTCGTAGAAAGTTATGATAGCAGAGAGGGAGGGAATGGGTAAATTCTGGCGCTTTCTCCTTGAATGTAAAGGAATCCACATTCAAATACATGTTGGCGATGCATTTCAGTTCTTGGTCCATATATTACTGGAGGACAGACAATTATAAATTGGCAAGAATAGACTCATACAAGAAGGGAGCAAAGGGTAGCCAGAGAGTTGAGATAAGTGTTTAAGGAAACAGCGACAAGAACGGAATGCGAATTCATACGTGCAAAAAACAACAGTTTAAGCAGTCCAGTGCCTTAATTACAATGATAGTCTGGGCACTAAATTCGGCTGAAAATCAGAATCAGGACGCAGAGAAAAGTGACAAAATTTCTCACTGCAATTAATTTAAACTGTCCTATGTGATTTTTTTCATCCACCACAGCAAATAGTGGTCAGTGGATTCAATGCAACATTTTGTAACGAGATCATTACCACTACAGTACAGAAAAAGAACTCAGTCACTGGCCCGATTGACCTGTCGCTCATTATTGGGGTGGAATGACCAAATGATTCACTCGAAACCCAGGAGCTGACTTCCAGCATCAAACAGTTTATTGAAATCACACCGGTGACCAAAATCCTCTGAAAATCCAAATAACTCTTCACCGAACAGAGGAAAACATACATTTGTATGCATTTGTTTCATCCCGCCTTTAAAATTTAGAAACTAATCATATTATAAATTAAGTACATACATGCATTTCGATTTATGCTAAGCATATCCTTAGAATCTTTACAATCCCTACAGTATGTAAACAGGCCAACGAGTTCACACTAAACCTTTGAAGACCATTCTACCCAGACTCATCACCCTACCCTATTCCTGTAACCCTGCAATCCCATGGCTAATGCATCTAACCTACACCATCCCTGAACGCTGTGGGTAAATTGGCATGGCTAGTCCACCTAACTGATATCACTGAAAGGCTACAGATGGGCAGGATTGTGGTCAACTCCCGGTCCTCCATGGTCTCATGATGTTTCCCAAACTCTCTTTTCTCTCTTCTTGGGGCTTTTCACAATGGACACTATATTCAAGTACATTCCTGCTCAGACATTTGCCAGCTGCACCGTGATATCTGCCAATTAATTGTTTACTTTCCTATCACTGAAGGACCTTTTAAATTCCTTATTAACCTCATTACAGGAAATACAAAGTAATATTAATTTTCACTAATGGTTATAGTATCAGTTCCAAAAATGTTATGCGGTTATACCTAATGTTAGAATTCTTTAGCTAATGGGTTGGGACTGGTTTACTTCTTACTCTACTTACTAGACAAACCTATTTTTATCATGTGTTCATTCAGTCGACATGTCTGTTAGTTTCTGTGCCTATGATTTATTCTTCCCTGTAATGATATTGGACTGCTTATACTGTTTGAGACTGGTTCACTCTCTTAATTTTACTGGAATCATTCATGTAATATTTTAAGTTTTTTATTGAATTTGGTGAATCTGTAAATACTTCAGAATCTACATCTATGATTATTTGAAGGATCTTGACTGAAAACTGCTATTAGTATATTAACAAATTGATTAAATAATTCAAGACAGAGTCATTAATTAAATATAGGTGAAATGTATTTATCTATGTCTTATAAACATGCATAAACATCAGCAGTTGCATATTCTATCTCAACTCTGTTGCCTTGTGTCTACAGAGCTACTATTGTTCTACTTGTGAAGACTACATTAATCAAACATTTTCCCAAGTTCTCTAATTACTGACAGCCATGTTCTGCTGCTAACGCCATGGGCACTCGTCAGCCATTTTGTGCTGCTCAGTCATGGGTATCCCTTTTGGTAAGGGCCACCAACCAAAGGTCCTTAAAGCGAATTTTGTAATTTGTCACCTGATATTCCTCGCCTGATTTGTGTTCGCCATTCACGTAATTTGAGGAATCTCAGTCGCTTAAATCAATCAGTATGCCCTTATGTGGATGTCTTTCGTAGTTGTGTTGTTCCTTTACTAAGGCCCATGTCTTTTATTTAGCCTGCACCACTGACGGGATCTAACAGCCACCTTTCCCCATGATAGTGGCAATAATTGTTGTATTCCTATTACTATGCGGGATATTATCTCAAGCCAGGCCTGTATAGTAACATGCATATTTTTCTTTACCATTTCTGTTCCTCAAATTCATTTTTGTGTCCTCTTCAGAATGTCTAGCTTCTTTTGTGACTGCTGGTGAAGCATAGCTATCTGCCACATTATCCTAAGCTGTCCACCTAAATGTGGAATAGGAGCTTCTGTTTCCTCATCATTTGAGGGAACTATGCATTTTGTAAAATTTCCAGTTCTCATTGTGTGATGTGCCTCATTTGAGCCTAGCCAAGAGTTACCGGGGTGTGTGCTGGGTAAGCGCAACCTATGATGTCTCTATGGTTCACAGACAGTACAGTCCCCTATTTATTCTGATTTATTGATATGCTGGGGACGGTGTTGATTTCTAGTATACGCCCTTTCGTGCTATTAAGTACATATCTATTAGCTCCTGCCAGAATTTACAGTGATCCAGTACACGCGTAGATTAGATTAATTGTGCCAGCTATGTAAAACCAATCAATTTGGATACTGCCCCCTTTGGGTTATGTCTTCCCTGGCACACCATGCAGAACGCATATGTGTGATCCTATTGTTCTCGGTCAATCAAGTGAAT